CCGCCCCGACCCCCAGGTGTGGTGAACATCACAAGCACAACATCATGACAAAGCAAATACAGTGCAAAATTCAACTGTAGAAAGGAACTGCAAATCTCGTAAAGGATGAACCATTTTATGAGCACGCTGGAAGTTATGTTGGAAAATACTAGAACCATACCACATCCAAGAAGGCTGAGGACAGCTAGACTAAGAATTAAAGAAGGAAAAGCCACGGGAACCTAAAAGTCGCTGCAAAGAACCCTCCAGGCTGGTGGGCTCCCAGAGGGCTTGTGGGCAGCTGCTGCAACCCCCAGTAAATCAGCTTTGCAAAAATGCTCCCACTTACAACACCGCTGCACAAGTCAAACTCAATAAATAGGGCTTCCAAGACAAAACACTGACAACAATCAAGGGAACTTTTCATTTCTATAACCCAACAACTTACACATAGAAATTGTAAATATAATCTAATTTTTCTAAACAGAAGAAAAAGCAAGTGCTTAATTTTGCACTTCGTCTTTGCAACATCTTCTACCAATGCTTCGTAGAAGTCCGCAGCTTCTACTTCTACATGGAAAGGAACCTCGGACAGGAGCCCAGCAGAAGAGGCAGGAGCGGGCCCTGGGCCCGGGCCCGCTCGGACGGGGGCTGGTTCTGTTCCCACATCTGGCCACATCTGGAAAATGGGACCGACCCCCCCCCACCACCCTGGGGGAGCAAGCGGTCACGCGGTCAGGCGGGCTGCACACTGCCCCAGTCTCCTGAAACAAGCCCTGCTGCCCACCCCACGACCAACCAGGCTTCCCCGGCCCTTTCCGCTGGGCCACGCAGCTCTGTGAAGCCATCCAGCTTCCTCCCGCGGATTTAAAAGGACGGAGGCCGAAATACCGGCCCGGAGGACGGTCTGTCTTCAATCAGGCGCGTCCCGGCTAGCTGTGAAAGGCCAGGAAGCGTTCCTGTAGGAACCTGGGGGAACAGAATCCTAGCGAGATTTCTTCTGGAAAACTGCACAAATGGGATTTTAAGGCTAACTATTGCCAAACAGGGGCAATGATTTCCGTGGTCATGAAAGGTTGTGTAATCGCCCTTTGTTCAAGGGTATTGACAAGTGGTTTTCAATTGTCCATGGTGTCTGTTTCTCCTTTGGCTTTCAAATGCCCAGTTTACTGCATTTCAGCAACGGAAGCCAACCGCCGGCTTTGGGGCCTTTCACTTCGTGCGGCACAGAGGGGCGCAGGGCGGCGGGGGGACGGCCCTGCTCCCGGACAAACACGGACAGGCGCACGAGTCCTTCTCGGGGCAACTCAGGGCGGTGCTCAGCCCACTGTCACATTCTGCACCCCCAGAACCACGAGTCACAGGGGCTCAGTCCACTCCTGAACACCAGGAGACGAAAGCCAAGACTCATCAAGTTGTTTCTCCATTTAAAAGAAAGAAAGAAAGAGCAGGACCAGCGAGTGTTTGCTCCAGGCCGGCAGCTCCGTGAGGACTCCAACTGTCTCCAGACTTCTACCCACTCACCCCAGGCCGGCCGCTCCGTGGGCCCCGCCCTGCCACACCCCCACAGTGACCGTCCGGCTCCCTCCCTCACGGGGCTCCCCCACCCACAGCCCTTCCTGCAACTTGCTTTCTCCTGTCCCTTTCGCGCCTTCACAATCCGTGAACTGACCGGTGAGCGACTGTGCCCCTGCCACCTTCAACTGCAGCTTTCAGAGCGCAAAGGACAATGGTGGTGGGAGGTTTTGCAGCTAAGCAAAACCAAGGTCCAAAATGTCAGTCAAACAAAAGAAGCCTGTGAGGGACGGACAGAGCGTCCATCTGAGTGTGCAGACAGTGGACAATCCCCTTGCTGGACCTGCTCAGCTGTCGGGGTGGGGCAGCGCCAGGTCCCTTCTCCAGCTCCCAGATCTCAGAGGCAACTGTGGGGGTCACCGAGCCCCAAATCCTATAGGACCGGGTGAGTCAGGAAGACACCTGCCTACTCCATTAAAATCGTGGCTCCTGGCCCTCCCTG